AATTGTAAAAAATTATAACAAACAAATGCAATGCATAAGTTGAGCTTGATGTGGGCCCATATAAGCCAGTTTAGAACTGCGAACACGGGCCAAACTTAATGATTTTTATAAATAGATAAACCGCTTGTTTATTAAGTGGGCCGACTCAGCCCAATACAAAACCCTCGACTTGATGAATAGATATTCTACAAATAATTGAAACCGCAAACGAAGAAGTTCTTTTTTTTGGGGTCAATAAACGAAGAAGTTCAAGCCAGTTTGGTTCGACTCAAGTGAAATGAGAGAGAAATGAAAGAAAATGATCGAACCAAACCAGTAAAGTCGAGCCAGTTTGGTTTTTTCATATTTAACCCTACTTTCTTTTTGTTGAAGAAATTATTGCTTGAAAATAAATTGCACAAGATGGGTTCAATTCACATGTCAATGATAATGCGCTCCCTAATCTGTATTAAACCAAATTAAATAACATACTATATATTTTCTTTCCTTTTACGGTTGGAGCAACTTTCTAGTAACAGCGGGACTATAACGGTCTTTCATTCCAACGGTAACTAAATTCAAATTTGAAGACACTCAAATTCTCAAATGCAAACCCTCATTCTGCTCATTCAAACATCAAACCCACTTTCTTTGCTGCAAGAAAAGCTATTTTCGCTCTCCGTACCACAATACTTTTCTCAGTTCCCGAACACTCTTTTCTTTAACTCCCATTCCCATGGAAGATCTGCAATTCGACCCCGTTTTCCAAGAGGCAAAAACCCCAATTTCTTGGGTTCCTGATTCCGACAGAGTTCAACAGCCAAATCCAGATCTCAAAGATTCTTCCTTGGGCGAGGTTGATGAGTCTTTGGTGGATTCGATGCTTTGTGATTCGGGTTCAAGACTAATCCCTTCCGGATTATCAAGATCCAACTCTACAGGTTCCTATCTCTGGTCTCATATAGTTTTTATTTTCTTGTTCTGGATAGTATATGTTTGGTTTCTGTGAAAAGAAAATAAGTCAGATTTGGGTCTTTCTTTTTCCTAGTAATTGGGACCTAAGTTACAAGAAGGTCATCCTTATAAGCATCTTTGTTAAATTGAAAGAAAAAGATCATCCCTTTGTTTGTTCAATTTCATAGGATGGATATTAGGGCTAGGCTTTTCAGTGACTTGGGTCTAGATGGATGCCAATTTTTGTCTGGTTTGATTTGCAAATTTTTGAAACCCTAGGAGTTGCAATCCATGTTAATCACTTTATGTTGTAAATGTTATTAACTTGCAATTGTTTTTTGTTTGAGTTGGAAATTTCGGAAATTTACAGCTGTTGAGTTGTTCTATTCTAGTGTCACAGTGTTGGTTATAGATGAAATAGACAAGAAAGTATTCTTCACTGAACTGTGGAATCTAATTATGGTGGATTTTGCAGCAGACGAATATGTGATGTTTGTGAATGCTGGAGGTGATGCTTCAAATGAAACAGATTCTAGTGTGAAGTTTCTCGCCGACACTTACTTTGAGGGAGGGAATGTTTTACGAACCAATGAACATATAAATGATGGGGGGGATTATCCATTCATCTATCAGTCAGCCCGAGTAGGGAACTTCTACTACCAGTTCAATTGTCTTCCTCCTGGATACTATTACGTTGATATTCATTTCACTGAAATCATAAACACAAATGGGCCTAAAGGAATGAGGGTATTTAATGTATTCATCCAGGAAGAAAAGGTAAGTCAAATTAAGGGAAATGCGTATTTGTGGTTTATTTTCTTTTTCCATTTCCTTTTGTTGAAATTAGTAAATCCAGGGACTGATCCTTAGAACTTCTCTTCTTGGCTAATGTGGCAGGTCCTATCAGACTTCGATATCTTTGCGGTTGTTGGAGCCAATAAGCCCTTACAATTAGTTGATTCAAGGGTCTCTGTGAAGGAGGATGGAGTAGTTGTGATAAGATTTGAAGGGGTTAATGGAAGCCCCGTCGTTAGTGGAATTGGAATTAGGAGAGCACCAAATGTTTCAGGTATTCTTGTATACATTTCTTTTGTTTGAACTGTTTTGTCAGCGTGTTGTATGTTTATATCAGTATTCTAAAGTTAGTTTGGCTTATATTTTATTGTAGTTCCAAAGCTGGTGGTGGAACACTTTAAATGTAACAACTGTGATGCTGAAATAGAAGTTCCTTCAGCTCAGGTCAGGCACATATCACCTAAAGTTGAAAGAGCTTACAACTTTAAGGCTTTTTCTTAATTAGCGACATAATTTTTGATTCACAGATGAAATTAATGCAAACAAAGTCCACTGCCAAATATGAGAAGAAGATACAAGAGCTTACCACTCAGTGCCAACTTAAAACAAAAGAATGCTATGAGGCATGGATGTCTTTGACTGCAGCAAATGAGGAGCTGGACAAGGTCATGATGGATCTTGACAATGTGACATTTAGGACACTGTCTCAAGGTATGGAGAGTGGCTCTCTGGTGTCTAAATTAAGTGAACTAAGAAATTTTTTAGCTAGTTAAATGACAGATAATGAAAAATGTCCATAGTTTGTTACTTTGGGTGACTTTAGTGAAAAATGTCCTTGATATGAAATGAGGATATCTATTAGTTTAGTTTTTGTTTTATATTCTCTTGTACAAATTTTGTTATATCAGCTATACATGGATGCCAGAGAGTTCAGATTTAAACGTTGTCCTATTTTCAAGGTCAAAAGTGGGGAGAGCTGGCCCACATATATATAATTTTTTTTTACAAAAAAATAAAATAAAATAGATATAAAAGACGGTAGTTTCCATTATTCATCATATGAGTTGAACATGAAAGAAGAAAGCCATAAGGCCTGCCTACAAAGTAATACCAGAATCATTTTCAATTTAACTAAAAGTTATCTTAGATTTTACACTTTGAGATATTATAATTTCTGATTCTATTGCATGTCCTTAGATCAAACCATTCAGAAACAAGCTGAAGATATAAAGAACATTTCTAGTAGGTATGAGCGTGATAAGAAGTACTGGACAATAGCAGTCAATGACTTACAAGAAAAGATTAAGGTATTTGGAAATGCATTATTTGTGGGTGTGTATAAGTATTCATAATTTGTTCTCAATATCAAGTTTCTGACTATGGATTTTTGTGCCTGGTTTCTTATGCAGCTGATGCATGAGGAGCATTTGCATCTTTCTCGCGAGGCACATGAATGTACAGATTCAATTCCCGAGTTGAATAAAATGATTTTTGCAGTTCAAGCATTGGGTATGCTATTGCTAGAGTTCACTCTTCTATTTTTCGGTTTTCAAATACAGGTGAAATAATAAGTTTATGCCACAAGATGTTCCATGGACTCATGAAATTATTTTGCAGTTGCTGAGTGTGAAGATCTTAAAGTGAAGTACAACGAAGAGCAAGCTAAGAGAAAAAAGCTCTTTAATGAGGTTCAGGAGGCTAAAGGCATGTGTCATTTTTCTACCTAGTAATTAGTGATGCAATTAATACGTTATATGTTGACAAGTTCAACTTATTAACTTTGTACGTGCTTAAAAATTATCAGGGAATATCAGGGTATTTTGCCGCTGCCGCCCATTAAGTAAGGAGGAGATGGCAGCTGGGTGTAAAGCAGTTGTAGACTTTGAGGCAGCAAAGGATGGATATCTTGGATTCCTGACGGGAGGCTCCACTAAAAGGTCTTTTAAATTTGATCGAGTGTACACACCGAAAGATGATCAAGGTATCTACATGTATATATATATTTCATTTGATTGCCTCCTAACAGTATTTAAGTTGGTGAAATCTGTATTGAGTTTGAGCCAGAGCTTTTGCTTTTGTCTTGACAGTGGATGTTTTTGTGGATGCTTCCCCCATGGTGGTTTCAGTTCTAGACGGTTACAATGTATGTATATTTGCTTATGGACAAACAGGGACAGGAAAGACATTCACAATGGAGGGCACTGAACAGAATAGGGGAGTCAATTATAGGACTCTAGAGCAGTTGTTTGAAATTGCAAAGGAACGAAGTGAAACTTTTTCATACAGCATATCTGTTAGCGTACTTGAAGTTTACAATGAGCAGATTAGGGACTTGTTAGCTACATCACCATCATCGAAGAGGTAAGATTACAGTTGTTTATTTGAACTTATAGCCACAGCCATCATAGAATTGATGGTTTGAATATTCTGTAGCTCAAAACTTGACTTGGTTCAGCTGAGAAAAGATTCTCAACATTTTGGGCATCACCTTGCAACATAAAGCTTACACAAATTTTCGTGGAATTTTTAGGTTGGAGATAAAACAGGCTTCTGAAGGGTGTCATCACGTTCCAGGGATAGTAGAAGCCAAAGTTGAAAATATTAAGGAAGTGTGGAGTGTACTGCAGGCTGGAAGCAATGCTAGAGCTATAGGAAGTAATAATGTTAATGAGCACAGCAGCCGATCTCATTGGTACTATGCTCTATTGTTTTCTCCTTATTCTGTTTCCTTGGGTGATCTATTTAATTTCTTTTACTCTGTGTTTTTATACTAATATATAAATATTGTACCTGTTATTTAGCTTGCTTTCCATAATGGTAAGATCAAAGAACTTGATAAATGGAGAGTGCACCAAGAGCAAGCTTTGGTTAGTGGATTTGGCAGGCAGTGAGAGGCTTGCAAAAACTGATGTACAAGGAGAGCGACTAAAGGAAGCTCAAAATATCAATAGATCCCTTTCAGCTCTTGGAGATGTGATATCTGCTCTTGCAAATAAAAGTAGTCACATTCCTTACAGGTCTGCTTTATCTGTTGTGCGCATTTAGGTCATTCCTCCACCAATCTTCATATTCTGGTTTTTAACAATGCTTGTTGCTGGGTTTCAGGAACTCTAAGTTGACACATCTACTTCAAGATTCATTAGGTAAAGCTAAGTTGTCCTAGCGGTGTTTGTGTGTGATTGTGTTTGCATGCCTTGATTTGTTTGTTCAAAATTTTGAGGCTTGGGTTAGTACTTGCGTAATTCTCTGATTAAATTAAATGGTCAATCTAGCTCTAAAGGAAAATTGATTTCTGGTAGTTGTTAACTTGTTTTCACTTACTTTATGACTTATGAGATTATTATTTATGTATTGCAGGAGGTGACTCTAAAACTTTGATGTTTGTGCAAATAAGCCCTTCAGACCAGGATTTGGGTGAGACTCTGAGTTCTTTAAATTTTGCAACAAGGGTTCGGGGAATTGAGTTGGGTCCTGCGAAGAAGCAAGTTGACACAAGTGAGCTCCAGAAAACAAAAGTCATGGTTGGTACATTGATTTTCAGTTGAATCTTTAATAAATTTTCACTTATGTTTTCTTTATTACACTAATGATTTACATATTAAACATCTTTTCTTTCGTTAAACAGCTTGAAAAAGCAAGGCAGGAAGCAAGATCCAAAGATGAATCTCTAAGGAAGCTAGAAGAGAGCTTACAAAACTTGGAGAGTAAGACCAAAGGAAAAGATCAAATCTACAAAAACCAACAAGAAAAGATCAAAGAACTTGAAGGGACACTTGAGTTGAAGACAGCCTTGCACAGCCAGTTAGAGAAGCAAGTTTCACAACTTTCAGATAGATTGAGGGGGAAGGAAGAAATCTGCTGCAGTCTCCAACAAAAGGTTGCTCTCTACCTTAATAATTATTATTTCTGTGCTTCTCTCTTATTAATGCTGACTGGAACTTTATCTGTTGAAGGTCAAAGAGTTGGAGGTTGAGCTCAGAGAAAGACACAAGTCAGACTCAGAATATGCATCTTTGCAACAAAAGGTCGCCAGACTCATGTTTTGGATTTTTTTCCCATTTTTATATGTTTCTTTTAAGTCGGAGGCCCTTTTTGTATTGCTTTTCTTTTTTTAAAATGTGTGCAAGTTGCTGCCTCTTGATATGTTCTAAAAAGATGAAAGCTTAACTTTGTTCTTTTTGGAGCAGGTTAAGGATCTTGAAAACCAACTGAAAGATCAAATGCAAGAGTCTGAGTTTCAATCCACCATTCTTCAACACAAGGTTTTTAAAGACAATCATTCCCAGTGCATAGTTTATTATACATGTTGACAACGAATTAGGTCATAAATACTTTTGTTTCTTCATTGACTTAGGTAAAGGAGCTCGAGATAAAACTGAAAGACCAGGAACAAAAATCAGACTCCTCCGCACTTCATCAAAAGGTTCCTGCACTACCCCTTTTTGTCCTTATTTCCATTGAATAGTTACTTTCTTATATGTTTTAATGCAAGCTATTCACGCAAGGTTTTTAAAGACAAGCATTCCTAGTGCATAGTTTATTATACATGTTGACAACGAATTAGGTCATAAATATTTTTGTTTCTTCATTGACTTAGGTAAAGGAGCTCGAGATAAAACTGAAAGACCAGGAACAAAAATCAGACTCCTCCGCACTTCATCAAAAGGTTCCTACACTACCCCTTGTTGTCTTTATTTCCATTGAATAGTTACTTTCTTATATGTTTTAATGCAAGCTATTCAGTGGAAATGTGCAAAATTCAAATATAGTGAACGGAAATATAATTACTGGTCAGTATCAAATGTATCATATGTTTGTACTTGTAACAAAATTTCCATCACATGATAAAAGATGTCTTGTTAAGGAAAATGTATTCTACAATGATAATATTCTACATACTTTATTATTCTGAAATTGTGATCTACAATGATAATATTTTAGAACTTTCCACATTTCCTTTTAAAATTCTGAAATAGATTGTGTTTCTACTATTCACAATTTTTTTAGTTTTTTCTCTGAGAGAAGACAAGACGGAAGAGAAACTAAAAGTGCTAACATTTATTTGACATGTGACACAGATTAAGGAACTTCAAGACAAGTTGAGGGAGCAAGAGAAACAATCAGAGTTTGCTGATGCAGTAAGGGCCACTCCTAATGAAGGAAAGACCTGCATAAGAGATGAAATCATGAATGATGCTGAGGCTTGCATCTTAAGGAGTTCGAATTCACTAAATCGTCCAATGAGTCAAGGGTCTATATCACTAAGAGGGAATGATTCTGTCCGTGAGATGAGAAGGAAAAGAGAGTTTAAAAGTGGTGAGACGGAGAACATCATTAGGCTACCAAATTCTTTTAATGATAACAAAGTTAGGAAATCCGACCCACCGAAGATTGCAAGAATTACAAGAACAGCAAAGCCAGCCACTGCTACTCAAGGGCCATCGGTTAATAGGAGGTTTAGCAGAGATCAGATTCAAGTTAAGGAGAGGGATACTGCGAAGAAAATCTGGTCAAGATAGTGAAGAAGAAAAAAAACATCAACTTTCTGTATGTTTTCTTTTTATTTATGTGTACATATATGCATACACATAGAGTACTTCTGCATTATGTTGTCAACATATTACTTTTCTCGTACTATCTTTGCGTGACATTAGAAATTCATTCATTAATGATTTTTTTTTTTTTCATTCAGTGTACGGCTAGAGTTTCTGTTGGTTTTCCGGATGTATTTGTGTTTGTTTTCCTTTGTTGACCTCTCTGTAATACCTTTGAGTGTGAAGTGGAATATATTTGATATTTTAGTTAGGTTAAATTGTACATGTTTTAATGGCAACAGAGTTTATTAAGAAGTGCTGTGAATTGAATTATTGGGGAACCTTTGGAGGAGCTAATTTTGAGTCCATAAGCTTTGAGTGGAAGGAACTCAAGGGCCATACTTTACAGTGATTCTAGTGTTGACTAGGGTTGGATGCAAATGTGCATTTAATTTGAAGATGGATTTCAAAATTGCAAAATAATTGTTTTAGGCTTAGGTTCAATTCAAAAAGGTTAATTGCTATGGGGGGCCTTTGTTGCTACCTTGCAGCCACTTCATGGGGCAAACTCAGTTGTCAGCTAAGAGGGTCTCAGATTGTGGTGAATTAGGAGACCAGCTTAGTAGTAGCATATGTTGAGCCACCACGCATAGCCAACAAGCACATGCATAATTAATATAGGATTAGCAACATTCACTTACATTAATGCACCGGCTGCTATTCATATTTTTACCTATGGTATTGAAATAGATAAGAAATTAAGTTGAGAATTGTAACTCAAGTGATCAAGAACAATTATTCCGTAACAGAGTTGGGTATAATCAGACCAAGCCTAAGGCAAGCACTCTACCTTTTTTTGGATAAAGGCCTCAATTTAGCAACCTTCTTAAACCAATTTCAAACCCAACGGAATGCCCCTAAAATAATTCTCACCATCGTTTGAGGAGGCCTGTTTTTTTTCTTATTTGTGGTAAAAACGATGGCCGCATTTTGTTTTATTAAAAAAACACTCATCGGCAAAGTACCCATTAGTGTAGTGTTTTAAAGCAATTATTCTTTAGAAAAGACTCTGAATTCGAGTCCTAGCATCCATGTATTGTGTGTGAGTTTAATTTGTTATCACTACTCTCAATATGAAAGGTCCTAAAAAAACAACATTAAACCCAAAATTGAATAAGAAAGAAGTCACACACAAGCACTTTGGTTTGAACATTGCAGTCAAAGATACAGATATCGTGAAAGAAAGGGAAATTTGTAGTTAAAAACCAGTCTTACAGAAGAAGCTAAATGCACATATTTGAAAACAAAAACAATGAAATGATGAGGGTTGGCTTGGTGGGAGGAAGGAAGGTGTGTGAGGGCGGTGTTGTTTTCCGACCCCTAAAGAAAATGCCAAAAAGGGTGACTATATGAAAGCGATTTTCTTGTTCTAAAGGGGGTCCCCATTGTCCAACAGGTCATCACAGACACAACAAAACAAAATCCCCGAACGTTATTATGTGATGATGATGACATGTTTGATTGCTTAATTGCCACATCTCTCTGTTTTGCTTCGCTGTATGGAGAGAAACAATCTATCTTTTCTTTTCTTTTCTTTTCTATTACATTGACCAAAAAAAAGATAGAGCTAGCAACAAGAAGAAATGCAAGTTTGCATATGAATTTTGTGCAATTCTTTCAATTCGTTTGACATGTTGTTGTGAATTTGAACTATACACATTTAAATAAGAATCTACATGCACTAGTAAAAAAGGTCGCAACAGTCACCATTATTTGGTGCCATTTGTGGCCGTGACAAAAGACACTAGTCACCTTTTTTGATTTTTTTGGTGATTAAAAAGGTTTTTAGTCACTTTTTTTTTGCTCTTTTTAGTGACTAAAGTCTTTAGTTACAACAGTCACCAAATAATAGTGATTGTTGCCTTTTTTTGGTAGTGATGATTATCGATTCAGATAAATGATTTAGTAACCAACAACACAATATTTTCCTATGTCGGTAAGATATGTAAAGTCATTTTTGCATTAAAAAAGTATGCCTTGATATTTATATGGATTAGGCAAAAAGCAAGGAGGAGGCTATAATCTCAGTCAAAACCATTATGCATAAAAGAGGTAATTATCTAAAACCTTTTGATTCGTGTCATCATGAAGCATTGCCCTTCTGAAATAACGTGCGGTTGAATAATTAAAGAAATGTCTGGCTACTTGTAAGCATGACCTTCGTGCTCTTTCTTGGAAGGGTCCACACATGCATGATTGGACGGTGGATGATGATGAAGCCAACAAAATTACCAAGCAACACACACACCCAGAGACGGTATGTGGTGGGGCCAGAGCTGGGCTGCAGGATAAGGCCAGGTCAAGATGAGAAACACTAGATTGTTTCTCAACAAGAAGTCATGAGCTTCTTGCAGCTATATCTATATGGGTTGTAACTTGTAAAATGACAGTTGACACAACGCACAGAAACAGTCTAACCAAAAAAAAAAAGTGTTCTTCCACTCAGTCCTTCACGATAATCACGCAGTTCTTCATGTTCTTCCGTTGTTGAGCCACTCATCTGTCTCTGTCTCTAAAGCCAAATGTTAATTAACAATTATACATGCATGCATGGTGTATATATAATAGTTTTTTTGTTGTTGTCATAGTTTATAGTTTATAATGGGAGGGACCTGTTAGCATAATTATATATATATATTAATTTATTGATTTGTTTATAGGTTTTTATTGAATACATGTGGGTCTGAGATGGTATGAAAAAGCAGCAACATGTTTATGAAGGATGAGGAGG